TATATATGCATATATATATATATATAGTAATACACGGCGGCATATGTATATAATGTGACACATATAACACAAAATTTGTGTCACTAAAGAAAGAGATGACAACAGATGGTAAAAGTTAGAACAAATCTTTCTTTATCCTATTTATATGAATCATATTTAAGAATCACTCGCTGTCGACACGGTACCAGAACCGGGTGGATTTTTAAATTCAAAATCGAGTGATTCTCATAGTTTGAGTGTTTAACCCTGTCCCTACACTTCGTCTTGTAGAGCTACTAGATGCATTTAAAATGAAGAAAAATGAAGTTAAAGGTGAACATCTGATCTATGCAGGACTCCTGTGTGTGTGTCGGACTGCTTGCTTGAGCCCTGTGAGGGAAACACTTTTACATCATCATCAGCATTCAGGACTGAGCGGACGTGGAATGAGGAGAATCAGCTTATCGTCCGGTTATTAGAAACTGTGACCAGATTTATTTTGTGCTTTTCAAAGTCATGGACTGTGATTGAACTTACGTGCGCCTAAAAGCTGCTCTGATGTCCAGACCTTCAGGAGCCCTGGCCTCTGAAAGACAGGAAGCAGCATCATCAAGACAACCAGAGCAGGATCCAGTGATGCCAGAAAACAACAACATGTGAGACACAAACAGCCCGGCCATGCTCACCGTGTACAGCCAGCTCAAAGTTGCAGCTGTCGAACTTGTTCCTGGACGCAACCTCACATCTGTACGCTCCGGCAAAGTTGGGCTTGGCTGCAATGATCTGCATCTCAAACGTGTAGACCTGCAAACCCGGATGAAGAGATGTTGAACAGATGATGCTTCATACACATCACAGAGTGTGTCTTACTTCTGCTGCTTCTTTTACACTGCTGTTCTGACTTAATGCTAGTTTAGTATCTCTGATGTGTCTGACTCTGTCCTTTAGGTGGCGTGTCTGAGCTTCATCATGTTTCCAGGATGACCGTCTGAGGCAAGAACTTGCCCAACTGAGAGCGAGAAGAGCAGCGCTTGCACAACGCTTCTGTTGCCTCAGTGGAAAATGTCACATATTGCAGCTTTAAACTTATTTTTAATGACAGGCGTGAAGCGTGGACAGGTGTTCATCATCACAGCACCAACAGGTGTAATGTGTTCACTGATCTTTGAAGACGTCTTCTTTGCTCCTGCTCTCTCGAACATGGCTCTACCTTGGTGTTGCGGTCGTACGTCTCCTTCAGCTGCAGGTGTTTTCCAGACTTGCTGGCGAGGTCCATCCACTTCCCCTTGAACCATTTGATGGTGGGTTTCTTCAGCAGCGACTCGGCGTTCACTTTAGCAACAAACGTGATGTTTTCACCTGCACAGAAGAAGGACTTGGATGGATTTCCATATCTAATGCAGCTTCGACCTTCTGCTGTTTTGTTGTTTTCCGTTCTGTGATGAAATTCTACAAATGTTCATTAAATGTAGTATTTATTCTTGACATTCACTCTTATTTTGTGCATGCATGTTTTCTACAAACTCACACGAGTCGTATCCCCTCATATTGTTTCTTATAAATTCTTTTTCCATGTTCTTGTCAAAATCAGTGTTTGAAGTGAAACTACAGAATGATGACGGTGGAACTCGAGTAGTTTGTGTGACATCCGATGACGTTCTCTAAGCTGTAAAATGCTGCAGCAGAGGTGGTACGTATGGCTTAGATTTTTAGAATTTCTGTATTATGAAGAGGCTGCAGGCTGATCTTCTCACAGCTAGAAGGTCTCTGGTTCACATCCCGGTGAGGACACCCGGGATCTTCCTGCGTGGAGTCTCCATGTTCTCCCCGTGCAGCGTGGGTTCTCTCCGGGTTCTCCGGCTTCCTCCCACAGTCCAGAAACATGCTGAGGTTAATTGGTGATTGTAAATTGTCCGTAGGTGTGAATGTGAGTGTGCTTGGTTGTCTGTCTCTAAGTGTAGCCCTGTGATAGACTGGTTACCTGTCCAGGTGAACCTGCCTTCACCCTGAGTCAGCTGGGATAGGCTCCGCCCCCCATGACCCTGGTGAGGATTAAGGTGTAGAGATGATGGATGGATTGTGAAACCACTCACCCACTGTGACTTCTCCACTCTGGGGTTTCTCTGTGAAGAGTCCAGTCAGGTCCTGCCTGGTGTCTGGAGGCTGCACGTCTATAATCCAGCAGGAGCATTTAGCGTTTAAGTTTCTGTCATTGAAGACACTTTGGGTACAGAGTAGAGCATGCAAACCCTCTGACAACTGACCTTTGGTTTAAAATGGCTAAATTAATACAATAAATAAATAAATGTACACCTTTATTTATAAAAGACACTTGAATGAGGAGTTCTCAGGAGGCCACACAGGCTTACAAGACGCATCACACACCACACGTAGCGTAGCGCTTATAGCTCACCTTGCATACAAGATATAAATGCAGCTAATTAAACTCATGCTGTTTTTCCACCTGGATGGCAGCTGTGTCTGTCTTGTACTCTGAGGCTGCATGTCCACCAGACGGGATGCTTTTGGCATGTGTCAGGAAAAGTTCAGCCACAGATCACGAAGAAACAGACAGTCTGACGCACACTAACGACTGAATGGATGAGTTCTGACAGAGGAACTCACCCTCAGCCGGGGCAGGAGGCTCCTCTGGTGTCGGTGCTGCTGCAGGCGGAGCTGGGTTCTGCTCCGGTTTGGCCTCGGACTCCCCGGCTCCCTCAGCAGGGGCCTCGGCTGGAGCTGTTGCGTTACCATTAACACAGAGACAAAAAGGCACAAGTTAGAGGTGTTTAAAATGATGAAGCATTGAGCTCATTCACTGCATCACGTAGCTTCTAAAAGCAAGTGTGCAAATTGTCTCCGTTTATATTTGTGCAAACTGCAGACACTGAAAACACTGTTCAGTCAGAACGATAAAGTTCTTTGGCCAACATTTATCACCCCAAATATTTCTTGTGTGTTATCATTTGTGAGCAGCCGAGTGATTTTCCGTGTGTTATCAGCTGCCTCTCATGCCTGTCCTCAGCGCCAGTCAAGTGGTGGTTACTCATGAGGAAATAATGTGCTGGTGTGAGGGTCAAGGTCGGCGTTCAGACGCTATGATCGGAGCCACGGACAGCTGGAGGGAACATTAGTCTGCTGCCTTCTTCCAGATTTGTTTAGTCCTTATCAAACTCAAACAGACGGCGGAGCTGGTCTGACAGGCTAATGGCACAAACTGTGACACACGTAGCACACGGGACAGTGGACATGGAGCCGTATGAAACAATTAAAGCGGTGACTTGGCGTGTTCACAGGAAGAGGTGGACTTGTTGGGAAAAGAAAGATTTTTATAAATGACAAATGAAGACCTTGAAATATAATATCAGATAAAATAGAGAATACTATTATTCAGTAGCTGCTGTTTGTAGGCGGCTGTCGCGTACAGATGAAGAGACTCAAAGTCCCGACGCTCGAAGAAACTTTCTGTAAAATGACAGCGAGTCATCTGATCCTATTTGTACAGTGTTGCTCTTGTAATTCATTAAAACAGCTGATTATTATAAAATTAATCACTGTAGTCTACTTTAAAATGTAAAGTTCGTAGTAAAATATTGATAAATTAACTCAGTCTTTCTTGTTTTGGCTCAGATTTTATCATCTTTAACTGTATTTTGAAAAGAAAAAAAAATCCACTCCTGTTAGAATGTGGTTGTTTTTACAGTAATTTCTTACAGTGTAGATTCAGACATGTAAGGAGGACTAAATACTGGAGGACAGCACCAATTACTTCCATAAAAAAGGTCCCAAAGGGCATTTCCAGGATCTTCTACCATGTTGTTCAGCCTGTGACCCATCGGCTTCATCTTACAAAGACATGGTGCCGATAGAACATGCTCCTCTGGGCTCTAGAGAAGTTTCCAGAACATCCACTATTCAAAATAATAATAATAATAATAATAATAATAATAATAATAACAATAATAATAATAATAATAATGCAAAATGTAATAATTAACTTTCTTTGAAGTTCTGTTTGTCTTTGATTTTTTGCTGCAGTACCACAAGTGGCCACTAGGAGACAAACTGGCAGCAGAGCGAGGTGGAAGCTTCCTTCAGAGCGGCTCTGATTCTGTGTTTTGGTGAAGCTTTTAGTTTGGTTAATGCCCTGTGGGGACACAACTCCAACACTTCATATTTTGAGACATAACGTGTTAATTAGTGAACTTTAGGGAGGCTCAGATTCGTTTAAATCTTTGGTCTGAGCCAGGCTAGCCGTTTCCACCTGTTTACAGTCTTTATGCTAAGCTAAGCTAACTGTCTGCTGCCTGTCGCCTGTGTTTAAGAGCCAAACGTAACAGCTTTATCAGTCTTCTCATTTACTTTTGGCAGGAAAACATAGGACGTGTCGAAGCGATCCTCTACAAGCAGACGTGGATGACAGGAAGCTGTGTCAGATATCTGGATGTGAGCGGCTGTCAGACGGTGCAGAGGGTGAGTTCATGTGCAGAAACATCAAGTGCATGCAGTGCATCAGCTGTTTACTGCCTCAGTGGTTTGTCTCATTGAGTGCTCCGCTCTGCTGCCGGTGAGGCTTCAGATGCACAGCTGCACCATCAGAGGCTCCCACCTGGCTTTGATACGACCTTCAGCTCAAATTTGACCTTCGATCCTCCAGCAATCACTGCATAGACGTTGGCGTCTTCCTTGGTAATGGCTTGTATAGCGAGGGAGTGCTTGTTTCCGTCGGCCGTGATAACATATTTGCCGCCACTGGCAATGTCCTTGGAGTTGCACTGCCATTTTACTTTAGCGTCGGGCTTCTCGGTCTCGGCTTCAAAGACCACGGAGGACCCCTCTTCTGCCTCCTGAGCCTTTGGTTTCTTGGCAAAGGCTGAAACTGAAGAGGATGGGTTGAAAATGAAAAGCAAACCCTGTGAAATGTCAGTTCTCCTAAACACGTGTGCTGTTGGGCTGCAGTCAGATCATCTTCACCAGTCAGCAGACGACGGTCTCAGTGAGAGTTCGTTGGTGGGACTTGTTCACACAGCGAGTCACCAGGTCACAAGAAAACACTTGGACTTAGTCTGTGCACATTACTGAACAAACAGCCAACATACTGCTGCTATGAGGACGAGGACAGAGTGATGAAGGCTGTAACCGACCACCGCTGGGCAGGCTGCAGCACACTGGGTGGGCTAACTGGAAACCAGTGAATCTGCCTTTTGCTGCTTCACACAGAATCTCTTCCAGCACAAACAGCTGACTTCATAACAAGCTTCATTCATGCAGTTCAGGTTTTCTTTGACATAGTTTTTGTGCTTAAACTGAAGTGTGGAGCAGCTGGCGCTTCATGAGTGTGTTTAATATAACCTGATGGATCGTCTCATTCAGGTGAACAGATCCTGAGACAACTTCAAAAAGCATCAGCGACGTCTTATTTAAGGGTTGTGCTGAAGGTGTGACGTTACCTGGAGCACTGGAGACTGTTCTGAGGCCTGTGTGAACCAAACACAGGTCAGACGTACGATCAGCTGTAGTCCAAGTGCTACAGGTAGACACCAGACTGACTGCTGTCCTCCTATCATATCATACAGTCGTCATGTGCAGACATGAACATGGAGCTGCTGCTCTGGTAGATGTTGAACTAGTTTTAAGCCCTTTATGGAAACCTGGTAGTTTAACCTGCAGCAGAAACGCTGGTCATGTGTGAAATATTGTTCTGCAACTAAAACCCTCAGAAAACTGTGGTGAAGTAAAAACATACTTCATTTTCCTCTGAACTGTCCAGACAGATGACCCACCGCTGGGCCGGTCAGAGCCTGAGCTATGATTCTGAGGAGATGTGGGTCAGCACAGGACCTGCTCATGTGTTCGCTCCACCCTCCTCATGTGAGCCTCCATCAGCTAAACGTTACCTTCGTGAAAAATAACTCATTTAAATTTACACAAACGAAACCAAAGCCCAGGTGAGACAGAGAGAAACATTCAGCACACACTCACAGAACCACACAGGTGTCAGAACCAGCTGTGACCTATAGAGAGAAACCCACCATCAGACTGTTAGACGTGGAGATGTGGCCGCTGCTGCTTTGTTTTGGTTCATTTTTAAAATAAGATGCACTCAGCAAAGTCCTTCTCACACACGCGTCATCTTTAAAAACGGGCCTAAAAATAGTGAGTGTTGCTGACGGCTCTGACAGCCGACGGTCCAGCCACAGAGTGTTTGGACCGGGGAAGTGGTGGGATACAGATCGCTGCTATTTCCAGGTTTGAGCGGCCAGCGCTACAAAAGCACACAAAACAATAGAAGTCTGTGCGCTGCCAGATGACCCTGCAAGTATGAGTTTAAATATAGGATGCATATGTACTGGACTAATAAATGAGGCTGGCGGGCTTCAGCTGCAGGTATCACAGTCCAGGGATTAGCCTGACACTATTTTTGTGACCCTGGAGGCAGAGGAAGAGTGATGTACCCCTCTTGTCATGTTGTCATACACTTCACACCTTCGTCTGGGTTAAACGTTAAAGGTCCGACACACTCGTTAAGGTTCTCGTCAAACTAAATGACAGTAAACCTGAGTTTGTCCTAGTTTTATGTGAACGATCTCAGCTGTGAGAGGAAACACACAATCCGTTGGGTCGCTGCCGTCACCCCTCTGGCTGGTGGATTTAAAGCTCTGACTCACAATAATGCTGGAAACAAAAGAAATGTTCTTTTTGTTTGTTCAGATTCAAGTGGAGCACTGCAAGATATCATCTCTGGTTTTTTCCCTTCTAATATGCTTTTATTTTGTTAAATGAAGCTGCTGAATCAACTGGACCTTTTTTTATTTATTTATTTTTTAACAAAACAGACGTGAATATTTTTCACGTTTTTCCCTTTTTGGAGCAGTTGAACTATTTCCTGTTCACTGTAGTTGACGTGACTGACAAACCGTCCAGTTAGCTGCAGGCTAATTGTCATTAATGCCGCCGGCTCAAGGCGACCATAACGGTTATGGTCTGAGCAAATCCTTGACACTAAAGGTCTTAGCAGCAAACAAGCTGACCGTTTGGGCTCCACTGTGTCATCTGATATGTCGGGCTTTTCACAGCACAAACAGCTATTCATTCTCACTCAAGAGCGCGAAAGAAAACTGTGGAGAGTCATTTGTCAGGGCGGAATCCTGTTTGGCATTTTGGGAATCAGCGGATCAGTTGGTGAATGCAGTGATGCTGGAAATGCGACCGTGTCCATTTCACAGCACAGCCATGTTTCCACCTGGACCGTGTGACGTGGATCTGAGTTCCTGACACGTCCAAAAGGCTTTAGAGCAAATATCAGAGCCCTGGAAACAGTCTGAATGGAGGACACAGGTACCGTGTTCTGCTCTGACTGCTGGCTACGTGAGTGTTTAGTGCACTGCATTAATAAACGATTTGTGGCAGCTCACTAAACACTTGAATTATAGCTGCTGGCCAGCGCTCTGGACCTGCTCCTGGTCTACTACATTATGATCACATTATTATGACCCCACGCAGTTTATAGCTAATATCCATACGTGGCATTTTATTTACAGTTTTCACATCTCAGATCAATTTGACACATTTTATTTTCTATCCTATTCCTTTTTTCTTTCTTTCTTTTTTTTTTTTTTACATTATTGGAGTGACAAACGACAAAACAAATAAAACGCTGACATGAAGAAGACGACTGTGGTTCCACGGCTCAGAACAGAAACGTGACACAAGTACATGTTGGTAAAAAGCAACTGTCACATCATTGTGGCTGCTCATCATGGAAACCAAGCACAGGTCTGATGCTCGCTGGTTGCTTGTGGTTGATAGTTGCTTAAGAGAGGTGTGGCCCAACTCAGTGGAGCGTTTTCTCACGCGTAACATATCACCTTGTTGCTGCCTGAAAACTGAGCAAACAAGCGTTTTGATTGGATGTTCAGCTGCGTGTGGACGGCGTTAGAATATACTGAAATCCAAAAGACAGTCCGCTGTCAGTTCAGCCGTCACCAAATGCTCAGGACGTAAGCGAATGAGGTCCCTACCTGGTTTTTTGATTGGCTCTGGCATCCTGGATGGTCTCCCTTCCTCGACAGCGTGACTCGGTGTTCCTCAACAGTCTGCGGTCCGGCTCGACCCTCCGGCTTTAATAGGAGTCCCGGGCCTAACACCGTGTCCAAAAAAACAGCAGCCACCCACTCGTACTCCTCATCAAAGCTCATCCCGTCCCAGCAGAAACCTCCCACCCGCCCAGCCACCCCATCCCCCCCCTCACGTCCGACCTCGGGCTATATTTCAACCATCCTTTCCTCCGGCACCTTGGCTGAATGACAGGCCTTAAGAGGGAGGGGAAGGGATGTAAAGCTGCGGTTATATATAGAACTTTGAATCCAAAAAAACAAAAAACAACGTGTGTTTGCTGTCCCACATCTGTGCTGCACCCGGTCACCCAGCAGGTCCGTAAGCCGGCAGCACAGCGGTACAGGCTCAGAGATCCACTTTGTTTTGTCCTCTGCTGGCAGAAATGACGGCGTTGTTCCCTCTGTGGACAGGAGGTCTTTAAACATTGAGTCCTTCCTGCCACGCTCGTGTTTAAGGTGCATCCAGCAAGTACAAAGTGACACTAAATGGAAAACTGGAAATCTAACTGTCCAATAAGGCACCACCACAGTGTTTACAGCACATTGTACTGTACGATATGTCTGATGTAGTCAGAGCTCGTCTGATCCACAGTATTAAAGTTTCATCATCTATAACCTCAAACTAATGTCCGATAGAGCTTTCTGTACATGATTCCCTCTGAACTGAGACTGGGCGTCTGCTCCGGCTGGTTCTGGTCGTGTTGTTCTGTATTCAGGCGGTTTCTTTTATCTTCCCACCTGTTGCTTACGGATATCAGTTACAGCTTGACCATTGTGGGGAGCTGTTGGCTCTTGGGACACCAGGTGCTGGAGTGATTTTATATTTGCACGCTGCACTTTACACATCGGCCTCCTTTGATTGACAGCGTTAGTGTATGCTGTGGATTTTGGATCCTTTTTTAAAATCTAAGCTGTTTAGAAGCGTCTCGTTTTATTGAACTGAAACCAGTCTGTGAAATCAGTTTTGAAATACGGTAAATAAACACAGTTACATGACTTACTTCCTGTTTTTCTGCTATAATGTAGGTGTGGTGGCGATAAACCGTCCACAGATCTCTGGCTAAAACTGAAGCAGTTGTGGAAAAAGTGATGAAGGAGACACGAGAGACAAACAGACATAGAAGTGCGTTACATAGACATTCCAGATGTGTCAGAGCCGACCGGCCCGGAGCCCGGAGCCCGGAGCCCAGAGCCCGGCGCTGGTGGCTGCAGTGTGTCAGGACACACAGAGAGACGCTGTAAGCAGCAGGTGACAAGACACTTCAGCCCACAGCCACGTATTAACCCCACAGATCCTCACAGCTCACCAACCATCTGTAAAGCTCTAACGAAAGCCCTTATCTGCAAACCAACACTCTTTTACCGCTGTTTCTTCTTTTTCTTTGTGTTTTTTTATCTCATGTGAGTTGAAATCACCTCCCAGTGACCTCTGCAGAAGGTACAACACACATACACTAATGGACAATTTATTTATTTTTTACAAGCAATTCTTAATGACAACGTAAGAACGTGTCCGACCTGTACGGACCTGTGATTCTGGTCCCAGCTCACCTGATCACAGTGCTCAGAGTGAGTCATCACTAACTTCTATGTGCCTCTGGCTGGTTTAAATACAACAACGTGAACATGTATGTACAGAATAACACTCAGTTAAAAGAGAACTTTGTCAAACACGACGGTCGAGGCCGGCTGGGGTCACATGACATGAAACAACATTTGGACTGAAGCACTGAAATATATAGAACAGACATTTCTAAAAATAAAAACTAAAAACAGAATATTTGCTGCTATTTGTGAGCACAACCTTTTGCTTTAGGACTTTACACTTTTATTTATAGTCGTTAAAGCAACCGTGTGGCGTTGTGGGAGGAAGGAGTTGGCCTGGACACTCGGATGCAACCCTCATGTGTGTGTTAGTATGAAACAGTCAGAAGGTACAGCAGGAGGAGATGTTTAAGCTTCTGCTCTGATCAAACAGAAGAATGTGTGTCAGAGAGCTGTGGAGGTGGTGGACAGGCTGTCCTGATGTTCCTCCTGCTTCCAGTCTTGATGCTGGATCCACACCTCACAGACACGACGGTGGCATCATCATCAACAAACTCAGAAGGAAGGCAAAGAAAACAGCAACAGCAAAACAGACCTGAAGGATGTGCACCGCTTTAGGAATAAAACAAAGATCCCGAAAATCTTTATCTGGATTTAGAAGTGATGATCATGTTGAGTCCCCGTCATGTTCGCTGTGGTTGTTCTGAAGTGGAGCTTAACGTTCTGACCATTTAGTTACTCATCATTTAGTCATCATCGATAAACTAAAGTGAATTTATTGTGTTTTACTAATTTTTACTGGAGTGTAGCTGACACTGGAGCTGCCACGTTTAAGCCATGTGGTTGAAAATGATCCACAGCTGACTGAGTGTGATTCCTAAAGTTCCTGATGTCTGTGCTTTGTCCTGTCAGGTGTCTACAGCAGCGCTTAGGGATAGAGTTAGGGTTCAGGTTAGAGTCAGGGATAGGGATAGGGTTAGGGATAGATATAGGAATAGGGATAGGGTTCAGGTTAGGAATAGGGTCTCTTTAGCATCCAGTGACTTCCAACTGTGGCCAGTACATCAATCCTCTGCCAACCAGAAAACACGACAAATCTCTGTACACATGTGTAAATAAAACGTTTTCCTATTTGGTCCTGAACGTGTTTCATCTGTTTCCGTATCCAGACGTTCAGACAGACGAGCTTTACCAGGAGCTTTACCAGGAGCTCTCTACGGCGCCCCTTCACCACTAACTGGTCCCCAACATGTCTTGAAGGAGACGTTTTGGGATCTTGGTCCATAGTTTTATGCTGCATTTGTGAGTATATCTTCAGAGAAACTGGTCTCACTGTGCAGCAGTACTGAAGCTATCATATAATGCTATTTACCAGATCAGCACGGTTGATTAAGTATCTACAGAAACACTACAGCTCTCATGTCACACTGCTCCATCCTGACACCTCCTGCCTACATGTAGGACTTCCTCTCTAGATGGCCCTTCCCCAGCACCTCGTCGCTGAACTGGTACGTCAGCTTCTTCTTGATCTTCTTCACCTCTCCAGTTTTGCCGTAGTTGCGTAAAGCTCTGGCCATCTTCTGGTAGGTCATTTTCTTGCGGTTGCCTTTCTGGATCCCCCAGCGGTGAGCGAGGGCCTCTTTGTGCTTGGAAGAAAACTGAAATGTCCCCTTGTCTCTGTCGACCCACCAGATACTGTCCTTCATGTCGCCGTTCTTTAAAAGGTCCAACAGGAACTGGTACAGACGGATCTTCTTCTTATTGCCTTTGGAAACAGAAGGTTGCATCATTAGAGGTGCTGCAGCTCTTTCTGCTGTTTACAGACTCAGTGTTGCTTTTATCAGAAGACAATAAAGAAAAGGATAAGTTAGAAGTGTGAGCAGAGGCATATATACATATATATATATATATATATATATATATATCATTCAGGTCCTGTTTTATGCTCCTTAACAAGAAAACATGGTCCGGTTCTGGCAGGTGAAACCTTCCATGAGTCATCGTTTCAAACTGTCACTGTGCAGAGCTGATGACATATTAACCAACACAACACCAGTACTTATATATATCATGTTATAATGCTTATATGTTACGTTTAGGATAGGTTGTGTAAAGGTTATTCACAATGCTGGACAGATTCCTTCATTGCTGAGTGTAGCTGAAGCTGTAATACTGACTTTATCTAAAAAAACAAAACAAAAAACAAGATAACTTGGAGAACATAACCTGTGTGTCCTAAAATCTTTCTATATATATATATATATATATATATATATATATATATATATATATATATATATATATATATATATATATATATAATTTGAACCTTTGTGTTAGTTTTTACATGCACTGAAAAATCCTTGGTAAGAAATCATAAAGGCGCTCCAACTGCACTCAGAAGAAAGAATATTGGAACCATTTTATTAACAGGATGAAACAAATGAACGAGAACAACACAGCAAGACGTCCTCTGTGAATCAGATTATTGATATATATATAATGTATATTATATACGGGACGCTCCACGCTGCTCATGAGGTCTCACTATGGACGAGAGGACGCCCTTCAGACGCCGTATGGCTGCTCGTGTTGGCGGTTTGTGACGACGTACTGGCCGTGCATGTTCTGTCTGGTCCAGGAGACGTTAACGAGACGGACTGATGCAGGTCTCTACTTTCAAAGAACTGTGGTGACTCAATCTGTCCTCTATTCAGCTCCACTCCCACACATTGCAAAGGTGTCCGGACCTTGTGAGACCACATTCTGATGGAAAATGGCATCGCATTCACAAAAATGCAGAGAGCGAGGTGCTGTAAGTACCAGTGAACATGCAGCCGGTGTCACTGAAGTGCTCACCTTGGTGCTCAGATGAGAAAAATGACCTCATGAACCCAGATGAAAAGCTGCAGCGGGTTCTGAACAAACCTCTTGACTGGAGGCGCTGCAGACACTCGGTACCAGACACTATTCAGGCTCGGCCACTCCTGTCACATCCTAAGCTGGCCAAAAGGGGAAGTGTGGAGGCTGTTTAATAAGCCAGGAAACCAATGTCAGCTTAAAAGAGAAAAGGACATCACCATGAAATGAGGTCCGCTGACACCGAGGCTCTGGTGGAGCAGCGGGCCGGTGCTGCTGGTTAAAACAGACGGGATGGCCCAAAACATCACTTCACAGAGTCCTGCTGGCACCTCGTTAAAATGTACAAGAAGGAATCCCTGGTCATTCCTCTACAGACTGTATTGGTTCCTCAATCCAATGAAAACTAAGATAATCCAGCCTTGGAGATGAAGCGCTGGTTCACGTCCAGCAGACAGCAGCAGCCTCTCTGGGTTCATCGGTCCAAGATGCAGCAGCAGCAAAGTGAAGGCTGTTGTGCAACCAGGAGCTCATCCTAAAACTGTAACTGAAGAGGTCAGCAGAACGCAAAGCTGACAAGACTCAACGACAAACCTCAACCAGCCCGCTTCAAGGAAGAGGACGCTGATCTGGATCAGACGGAGGCCCTCAGAGCGCTCTGACGTGCTGCTGCTGCTGCTTTAATGCAAACTCACGACTTCCCAGCAGCAGTCACTGAGCTGCTCACCATCATCATCATCACCATCATCATCATCACCACCATCACCACCATCATCATCATCACCATCATCATCATCATCATCATCATCACGGAGTCAGAGAGACCGCCGACACGTGGTCAGAGGTGGAAGAAGGATTACTTATGTAGAAGTACTACACTGTAGAAGTACTCCACTGTAGAAGTACTCCACTGTAGAAGTACACCACTGTAGAAGTACTACACTGTAGAAGTACTACACTGTAGAAGTACACCACTGTAGAAGTACACCACTGTAGAAGTACTACACTGTAGAAGTACTACACTGTAGAAGTACACCACTGTAGAAGTACACCACTGTGAGTTGTGGGTGAAGCCCTGCGTTAAGAAAGTTCCCTAAAAACGTACGGATGAGTCCTGGTGCAGAAGAACTGCTGAACGCACTCAAGTCCATGCAGAACATTTTCTAGAAATATTAGATTGTGATCACTGATGTTGAGCTGTGGCTGCTTTCACTGTCCTGGAGCCAAATGTTGATGATTTTTACTGTGGATTATCCACATGGATGTTTTTGAGGGGTTTGTTTCATTTGGTTTGTAATAGTTCTGAAAATGTTCAGAAATAGTAAACGATTGGGCGCCCGGATATCTCGGCGGGTCGGGCGGGCGACCCACGTACAGCGGCTTTAATCCCCGACACCGCGGTTCGGTTCCAGCCAACGGCCCGTCTGCTGCATGTCATTCCCCCACTCTCCTCCCCACGTCTGTCTTCACTGTCATTAAAGGTGGAAAAGCTCAAAAAACAAATCTTAGAAACAGAAATAGTAAGCTGTGATCAGAGCTGTTGCCAAATGAACTGACCGGAAGCTCAACTAAATATTTAACTTAATAAAGTTGTTTGTGTGCAAACATCGGTAGCGCGTCTAAAAGCTCTCAGATAACCAACTACAAAGTGTTTCTGCCTGACATGCAGAAGCACAAATCAAAAGAAAACTCAGAGAAACTACAATCAGCAGAAGTTAAAGCTGACAGTGTGAGAGCATTCTGACGGTACGTGTCAGGGCAGCGAGGGCAGAAGCCTCGAGTCAAAGGCAACTCGAACCGCTTCAGATCCTCCAGAGTGGAGAATCAAGTGCGGTGACTTAGCACTTCTCCGTACACGGTGACCTGGTGATCCTCCACATAGGCGGTGTGTCTTAAAGCGTCCGTGTTAACTGCTACCGGACTGAGGCGACGTGCAGGATGAAGTCCTTACCCAGCTCTCCCGGGGTGGCGTACGGGACTCGGTCTCTCAGACACTCCTCATCAGACACCTCCAGAGGGGGACTTCTTCCTCCGTGGTCCTCGTCGTCGGAGCTGCGCTGGGACACGTGTGGAGGGTACACGGGCCGGGGGAAGAAGGCCACCTGCAACGGAGGAACGGAAGCTGACTTGGCTCACATGCAGATGTTACACTTATTATTGATAATAATAATAATAATTTTATTTATAAAGCACTTTTGGTCAAAGTGCTGTACAGGCAATAAATCAAACACAATCAATAAAACAACACAATCCAACAAGTCAGGACACGTGCAGCTTGTTGGTCCTATAAACGCGCCTACAGTCCAACATGAGGCGGAGCAGGAGCAGACTGGGGGACTGTTTCATAGGACGACCCGTTTGGACATTTAGGGATTTACCTGAGAATGAAAAACATGTTGTTGTTGTCCTCAAACCATGACCAAGTTAGTTCCTCCCTGACCAGCTCCAACACATGTACTGATACCGGCCCGGCCGTACGGGGGTGTAATCATCAGAATCACTGAGTTTACTGTAGATACGCTGTCGCAGCTTGGCAGGTTAACCTGAATAATATTTGAGTAGCGTGCTGTTATTTCGGTATCTAGAGCTCTCTCCCACATCAGACTTTAAGTGGGACCTAATGGAGCAAGGATCTTCCTACCAGAACCGGGTGTTTGTCTGGAAGACGGGCTCTCTGTTAGCATGCATCTGGAGCACGTAGTGAAAGGACAGAAGGTCAGGCTGGTTTCTATCACCACATAGGGCCTTGCTTTCATTTAGCAGTGAGAAGCTCACCGGCACCGGCTACGTTCTGGACTGTTGTAGATGACGGTACATGATCTGTGTTCATGGTGAGACTCTGGACCAGAGC